CGGGCGAAAGAACACTACAGACATAGCACAAGAAATGTTCAGAGAAACTTATCGTGGAAGAGTTAAATTGAGGGGTAAAATGACATGGCTAACTGGAAAGCCTAGCGTTTGGATTGGAATCCAGTTCTAAAAAGTGCGCATCATTTTCACCTCTAAGCTACTCCGCAAAGGTGTTGGGAGACTGTTACTTCATGATTTACATGCACCACTCTGTCGCATATCACCGTGAATATGTGAGGTGGAGAAATTAGGATCAGCAGGGCAGCTACTTGTTTTATAACAATCAACAGGGGTCGCATAATAGTAACAGTGGCACTGGCGAGACTGCAGTCTCTCGTGAGGCGAGTCCGGATTGCACGAGAACAGTCTGAAAACAAAAAAAGGGCCAGGCATAGCATGGCTGCACCCCGCTGTGACCAGGAATCCAGCAGAGTTGGAGTTGTGATCGGGTAAGTTTCAGCATATTTTTGATTCTGTGGCTTTACAGAGTTACGGACAAACAAAGCAAACGGATAATGTAACTATGTAATAACATAGTGGCACATGCTTAGTCACACGTATTTAGACTTATGCAGTGAATAAATCTATTTACAGCCCTTCGTTAGCTGTGGTTCCGTACGTGGCGCCACTAAACTTCGAAAATATGCCAATGTCCGTACGGATCAATGAGATTGACGCCGAAGAGGCGCAAGAATATTTATCCTGCGAGGAGGGTAAGTTGGAAGCTTTGCTTTGCGAATTAGTTTGAAGCAGATCAAAACACCCCCGGAAGATACCCTAGCCGTCTGGTACCATCCTACCAATAGCAAATAATTGGCCGCAGGGTCATCGATAACATCGTTCTCCAAGAGCTAGAATTTCTGGCTTGCAAAACACCTTATCCAAAACGGGAAAGCCAAAGTAATTCTGCCCAAAACGGGAAAGCCAAAGTCATTCTGCTCGAGCCATTCGGCATCTGTCCGAGTAGTAGTATTAGCAGCAGCAAACACTCGCAGGCAAGGAATTTTGAGCAAGCAGATGGCAGCTGTTACTCCCTGACATGCACCAGTGCCAGTTACCATTGGAACGCGTGAACGAGACCGGTTGTCGCATTGGCGGTGACGAATTAACAGCATGAGCCTGAAGTGCTGCTGGCCCGCTAATGGTACTATCTCTTGTGCATAGTAAAATACGGGGAAAGTTTTCACTCTGATGCAATGGGAGATGGAGAAAAACTGCTTGCTTGGGAATATGCCATCTTTCAGGTGTTGTAACATTTCCGGATGAGGCAACCGTGGAAGCAATGGAGAGTACAGCTAGTGATAGTGAACCGCTTA